AAAAAATAATATTGGTTACGGCAGTATCTAATGATGAATTAATTGACCTGGAAAAACATACATACCAACAAGTGTATTATTGGGTGGCAAAATTATCAAAACATCAATTTGTTACTGATACCAAAAATCAGCTCAAGTCATCCAAAAATTTCCTTGAACAATGTACACAAGTGGATGGTGGTTATAAAGTAATTTATTACCTCGAAACCGATTTTGTAAGGGCTCTAGGGTTTACTACACCATTTTTACAGCTTATTGAGAGGAGTAACATCATTGAGCTTATTGTCAATTCAACTTTTAAGACAAATCAAGAATGCTTTGAACTTTTCACTGCCATAGTCAATAATGGCAGATATGGCGTACTGCTGGCATACCTGTACCTGGACATGTTTGTTCCTTTAGAAGACCTGCTGGACAATCAAAGTGATAACAGGATTCAAAATCATGAGGGTGTGCTTTGTGAATTTTTTTTGGCTTTATGGCATGAGAATGTATTTCCAACATTTGCCTTGGTTGATAAAGACATTGGTCAAATTAATGCAACAGAGGCTGCATGGGATGAGAGAATGATTGTGCAAATCTGTCTTTGGCATGTCGAGCATGCAGTAGAAAGAAAAATGTGAGAGACAAAAGAAAAAAACAGTCAATACACAATAAATGTAGCACAGGCAGCTAACAGCCAATTTGAATTTATCAATCCACAATGGTGACCAAGCAATAATGCAACAGTTTGTCCAGAAGAACACAGAAAGGATGTATTACTGATGATAAAAAAGCATGCACTCGCACATCCTTTGATACCAATAAGTAAAGATATGTTTTTGATAAAAGAGCAGATATATTATCAAAGCGTATGAGAAGTGTATCAATTTTGCTGGTCAAAAAATTTAGTACATTTGTGGGGATACCTATGGTGTAGTTGGTATCAACAAAAACATTGGGATCATTTTGCTCACACATCATATCCACAAGCTCTTCCACTTGCTCGCACAACAATGATAGTTGAGTCGCACTGGTGAGTATTGAAGTACAATTATAAATACAGATATAATCAGCTGCGGCTTGACCAACTAACACAAATTATTACCATGTGGTTTGTTACTGACCAAATAAAAATGTGGAGAAGATACTGTAAAAATTATGAGTTTCCCTCATGGTGGCACTCTTTCAAGCAGGAGTGGAATACTGCAAAAGAAAAAGTAGTGTATGATACAGATCAATATCACACTGATATAGAGACATGGGTTTGTTCATGTCCAGCATATTTAAACAACCCCTACTTGATTTGCAAACATTTAGTGGCAATGAAAATCAGACTAAACCCTGGATTTACACTTCTTTTCAAGGACATTATGCAGTGCCATGATTATCCATTTATCAATTTTTACCAAGAACATAACTCACGTATTCAAGTGGATAATACACCTTGGAACTATGTTCAGGAAAATGATAATCAATTTGTAGATGAGCCATTAGATGTAGCGAATATGAATACGTTAGATGTGAGCACCACTTATCAGCAGTCTAGCATTAGGGAAAGACAAGAGGTGCTAACGAGGCTCAAATCATTAGTAATTCATGGGTTCGATCTAGCTGAAGAGAATATACAAAATGACAGGTTTATCAAAAATTTATAACTCTTTTCAATCCTGTCATAAACGAAATAGAGGCTTGTGATAGAGTCCTTAATGCCAGGACACAACATAAACAGAGAACTTGGCAGCTGCCAAGGCATGGAAGTTTAGCCTTTAATCTCAATTAAATTATTATTATTTTTTTATTCAATTAATTATCATTATTATTATTGACTAATAAATTTATCATAGTTACTATTACGAAAAGTTTATAATTACATACATGAGTTGTTTTTGGGCTTTTTTTTTCCATCATGCTAATCAAATCAGTAATACTGACTGATGAATTTTTTCCAAGTCCCTTTTAAGTAAATTAGTATATATAAATCTTAAATAAAACTAGATTAGTAAAAACCTGCTGCGCAAGGTACATAATTTTGCATAATTCTTTGTATTTAGAATAACAATTCATAG